GTGCATTCTTTTGACCATTTTAAATGATGATTGCCTTTTTGACAGTTTCGCAACTGTTGTAATAATGGTTCGGCTATTTTTGAGTAATCTTTGATGAATCGACGGTAATAACCGGTTAAACCAAGAAATGATTGAACATCTTTGATCTTTTTCGGTTGAGGAAAGTTTGTCACTGATTTAATTAAATCTGGATCTGGTTTAATGCCATTCTGAGTGATAATGTGTCCCAAGTAACGCATTTCTCGACGGCAGAATTGACATTTTGATGTTTTCAAAGTCAGATTTGCTGATTGAAGAGCTTGGAATACTTTTTCTAAATCTTTCACATGTTGTTCGAATGTTGCTGAGAAAATTACCACATCGTCGATGTAAACGAGACAGCATTGCCACTTGAGACCGGCTAACACTATGTCCATTAATCGTTGGAATGTTGCTGGAGCATTAGTTAATCCGAATGGCATAACATTAAATTCAAATAAACCTTTATGTGTTACAAAGGCGGTCTTCTTTCTTGAATCTTGATTCATTTCCACTTGCCAGTATCCGGAGCGTAAATCGAGTGTTGATACAAATTTCGCTTGTCGTAATGAATCTAATGTATCATCTATTCTTGGAAGGGGGTATGCATCACGAATTGTTACAGCATTTAATTTTCGATAATCGATACAGAAACGTAAGTTTCCATCTTTCTTTGGAACTAATATAACGGGTGATGCCCATGGACTTGTTGATGGTGAAATAATCCCTTGATCTAACATTTCTTTTATGTTCTGCTCGATTATTTGCTTTCTTGTTGGTGCATAACGAAATGGTGGTGAATTAAACGGCTGTGCCCCGGGAACTAAATTAATTTGATGTTGTGTTTTTTTTGTTCTTCCTGGTTGTTCGTTAAACACATCCGGAAATTGCTGAATAAGTTGTTTTATTTGTTCTTTTTGTTGTTCGTCTAAATCAGTGTTGATTAAACTTACATCACTGTCTGTTTTTGACGTCGTTTGTTTTGTTGCTGATGATATTGTTCCATATTGCATCATATTTAATTGAATTTGATTAAGACGAGTCATTGTCGCCAGCGGCTGATTTTTATAGATCATAATCGTTCTTTCCGTTAGATTAGCCACCTGCAGTGTCATGTGTTCACATGGTGTAATAATGCCGTTGGCTACACGTGGAGTTTCTTTCATTGATGATACTTCATATTCATCTCTGTCATCTTCTTCTATAATTGAGAATGGTTTATTTGGTTTAACTTCAATGTTAAATGCATGAAATGGTGAAATCTTGACACGCTCATTGGCAATCAACACATATTCATCATCGTTCTTAATTGTTTCTTTTCTTTCCTGTTGCAGCTGTGTATTTTTTTTCTTCGCTTTGAAGTATGCATATTGTTGTCCACCATCTATTTGAAGATTGTGTTCACGTATTAAATCATTACCAATAATACACGAACGCCATAATTTTGGGACCACGTAGACTTTTTGTACACGAGTTGAGTTGGAGATGGTTATTGGGAGTGATAATGCATATTTAACATCGAGTTGTGATCTATCCGCCAATTGAAGACATAAATTGGATGGAGGGGGATATGCTCTTTGACGATAATACCGTGGCAATCGTCGAAAGAATTGAAGATTAATTAATGTGAGCGATGCTCCAGAATCGATAAGTAGTTGTGTTCGTCTTCCTGCAATCATACCTTGTAATATTAATGGAGTATTATTATAAATGTTCATAGTATGAATTTCGGCGGATAGTTGAACGGGATATTTTACATTGGAGCGCCATGGGCCCGTCCACCCTGTGCTCCATTGTCGTTTTTTTGAGTAATGCCACGAATTCTGGTGTTGATAGGTGTTGTATTGATATGGACAGTTTCTTCTAAAATGCCCTTTTCGTCCGCACATGTAACATTTTGCTTCGTTTGATGGGTATCCGCTCTGTTGGTTAACCGTTGCATGTGGTGATTGATGTGATTGTCGAGTTGTCACATAATCATTCGTATTCTTGTTCGATGTTAAATTTCTTCTATTGTTGAATTTTGTTTGTCGGTTCATTTGATGTGTCGACATTGTTTGCACCTCGTGATGATTTTCGTTATTGTACATTGACGTTGTTGGTGCATCATTGTGTAATACGTCATCGTAATCAGTTCTTTGGCGTTGTTTATTTCGTTGGTAGAGTATTTCTTCAATTTTTTGAGCTTCTAAAATAATCTCGTCTAGTGATTCACATCGAGATATACCGATCATTGTTAATAAATTGTTTCTCATCTTGCACAGCAGGTGTCGAATGAGATCACTTTCTGTTTCATTCGGCTTTTGTTCTTGCCAGAG